AACAGCTCTAGTGGATAAGAAATTGGAATGGGAAGAAGGTAAAGACAAAGCTTTCACTGGTCCATTGTTGTTCTTAGTGGTAAGTTTATGCTATATAATGTTGGGAATGAGAAGTAGTAATTGCATATGACATCTAACATGCATGGTTGTTATTCATATTTATTTGCAGGTTCTTTATGTTGATAGGGTGGTATTGTTGTATCGAAGGAAAGTAGTAAGGAACTGGCCTGCTATAATTGGATGGACATCACAACTACTGAGGGAGAGAGAAATAGCAGAAATAAAGGCAGACGGCTTTGGTCTCGGATATTTTTGATGAGAAGATGAAGAAGAGGGGATTGACAGTAGAAGAAATGAGTGCTGATCCAGATAAGGTGCACCAATTAGAAGTGGAAGGTGCACAGAATGGTGAAACATCAAAAAGGGAAAATACAGAAGAGGTAAACTAATAATCCATAGATGGCATTTTTAAAAAATGAATCTAATATGTCTTATAATGCAGGAGTTTCTTGAAACATTTGCTGTGAAAAGAAAGTTGTTAGCTACAACAACAATTGAAATATTGAATATGGTAGAAGAAGCTCCACAAGTGCTGCAAGGAAATGAGAACTTCAAGAAAAAATTGTGGAGGCTACTAATAAGGTACTTGGGGTAGCCCAAAAGCAAGCACAAAATGTTGAAACAAATGCAGCAACACCGGAGCAACAGTTTTATGATGAAGAAGTTGAAAAGTTTTGGTCAAGTCCAAGAAACATCCAAGCTTTGGTGCAGATGGAGACTGCCTTTGTGAGAAGATCGCAATACATAAAGAAGATGGATGAGAAGCCCAGCTTCAGTCTAGGACTGACTCAAGAAAATGAATATGAAGCTACGGGCAGCGGTGCTAACACGGCTGCAGAAGAGAATACAAGGGAGGCTGCTATATTGGAGTTTCATCCATTTGAGAAAGAAACAGAGGCAATAATAGAGAGTGTGATAAAGTTTTTTTTATATAATTTAATTATTAGTTAATTTATTGTGAAAAACACCGAAGTGATGTTTTATGTGCAGCAAGAGATGAGTAAAGATGCAGTGGAGGTAGATAATAATGCAGACAACTTGCATGAAGCAGAGGTGGAGATTCATCCATTTGAGAAAGCAAGAGAGGTAATAATAGAAGAAATAAAGTTTTCTTTTATAATTTAATTAATAGTTAATTTATTGTGAAAAACACTAAAGTGATGTTTTATGTGCAGCAAGAGATGAGTAAATATGCAATCGAGGTGTATAATAATTGAGACAACTTGCATGAAGAAGAGGTAAAATTATTATGAAAAACATATTGAAAATGCGGTATGGTCATTTTACATTAATATTGTGTCAATATAATTTGATGAAAATCGTAGTATGTACAGGCATCAGATGCAATAGCAAAGGTGCAACAAGAAAAGAGAATTCAAAGAGCAGGTGCAGCACTGAAGTCACCCTACTTAAAAAGGGTTATCGATCCTACTGAAGGTCTCGATGCTAATGAACGTGGTGCAGTTGCATGGTTATTTATAAACAAGAAGGCTGATAGGTAAGTGATTGTAGTTATAATTGATGTTATTGGTCATGTAATTTTGTGTAAGACACAATGAAGTTGGTTTGAAAAGGAATTGAAATTACAACATCCTTTTTCTGATTGCATGGTACAACTAATTGTATTGCATGTTAACAGGAATGAGATCGTGTTCAAAAAGGCATTCTGGTTGCAAGTTACACGTGCTGAGTTGGTGAGCTTAAAAGAAAAGTCCCATATTTCAGCTCGTGTACTAAATGCATGGTCTTTCATTCTCAATGTGAATGAAAAAGATAAAAGCAGTGATTCTCCTGCCTGATTATTTGCAAAGTCATACCCTTGTGTGAGTGCAAATTAAGAAAAGAGACAGTTTTGTGTTCAGTTAAATTATATACACAAAATAATTGTTATGTTTGTTACTAATGCAATTGAATTGGTGTGCAGCTAGACACCCAGGCTAATCTTGGTTCAAATGCTAAAGATGCATACACACTATTTCAAACAACACTTGACTTTGGATGGGCATTGATCCAACAACACACTGCAATAGCACATATTGATCTGGTAAGGGTTATAAAGAATTGAATATATGGTGTTATACCACGTCACCACGAAAATGTGGTGCAGTTTTTTTTTTCAATAATGCAATTTCATCACACATACATCATATGTGTGAATACCAAGCTTAAACGTGTGGATATTCTCGATAGGTCATCAGTCGGGGTATCAAACGCAAACAAGTATGGAGACATGCCAGAAAAGTGGTAATAAAACTTGATTTTAGTTATATATGTAATATATATTAATAATGTTTGTATTCTTACAACTGAGTGAGATTCATATACTGAAAGCTATTGTAAAACTGTGTTCCAGGTTGGTATGTTTGTGAAATACTTGGAGTCAAAGAAAATGTCACAAAAAGCAAATATGGTGCGCAAATTGAAGGGTAAGCGACTACCAATGTCTTGGAGAGATCCCAAAGATGTGTATGACTATGGGGTCTTGGAAATGCGACATACGGAGACTTATCGTGAGGAAGAGTTGCTGGGTTGGAGTATTGGATTGAACAGACGGGATAACAAAGAACTTGGTGCATTAAGAAGAAAGTATGTTGCAACGATTTTACTACACGAAAGCAATGAACTTATGCAAGAAATCATGATGAATGCCAAAGAATTTGCAAAGATAACTAAAGCAGAAAGGTTGAATGCAACATAGAGGGGATTTGTTATCTCAAACATTTGGTTTTTGTTAAGTTTGAGCTGAAAAATTTATTGTGCCATGTGTTTTTGTGTGGGTGGGCACGTGTTGAAGTTCTTACATGAGATTGGTATGGAAACATATGTTAGGATGCATCTTATCAATATTGACTGTTTTGTGTGGGAATGTGAAATCCAAACACTTATTTTACGTGGAATGAAGTTTTATTTTCAGTTCATATGTGTATTTATACCTTGTTTAATGCATTGCAATGAGCTATAGTATGCATCATTTTGCATTTCATATATAGAGTATAGCAACACTATGCATCCTTACATGCAACTTCACAACCTGTAAGATGCACTCCAACGAGTTATAATATGCACTATTCATTTTTTTTGAATATATAAAATATATAAGCGCAGTGTAGTGTGCTTATAGTGTTAACATGAATTTATAAAAATATTTCTTATAAAAATCTGACGTTGTGATGAATATGATTATATTAAAGATTATATGGTCTATAAGGTGATATTGAAGACTGAAATATGCAGTATTTGGGATACAATGATGCATAAAGGAGCATTAATGCAAATGGTAAACGTGCACTGATAAACCCAATGACAATAACAAAACTTTGAAAAACATACACTACAAAACCAATAACATAAAACTATATTAATTTCCAACAGACAGTTGTCATTGTAATGTCAAACAACAAAAATTGCAAACATATACTTTAACTTTATGCAAGCCTATTTATTCAAAGGCCAATTCCTACTATCGTGATGCCCCATCTCATTGCACGATCTACAAAACCTTTTGGGGCGTTGTGATTCTTCCATTGAAACTTCCTTGGAAGACCTCAGCCTACGTCCAGGCCCCTTATTTTTGGCCTGCTGTGGGGGATGAACATTGACTTCAGATGGCACACCAAAACCAGAACCATCTCATTGGTATCCGTCGTATTAGACACTCTTTTCCTATTTGTTGGGCAACCTTCAAAACCGGCAACATTGGTATCCGAAACAGGAGGACAAGCATTATTCTTAAAACCAGCTATACTGCATACAATATACTTCATCAAAATATGCCCATCTCTGGTCTTCTTTGATGTATGATGACGAATAGAAAGCCCCAACTCAGATGCATAGTCTTTGTAAAACTTAAAGGCAGCATCTAGATTCACAAATATCATCCCAACAAGAGGTTTCTTTTGAGGTGAACGTTCAGGGATCCAATACTCTGAACCCCAGGAGAAATTTCAAAATCACATCTTTGATCTATATAAACAACAAACGAACTCTAATATTTAACATGAACAAAAATTAATATTAAACAACAATAAAAATAGTAATTCACTAAATGCACCATACAACACAAACAAATGCATAATACATATTTTATCCTGCAGAAGACAAAACTATAACACAAAGAGATATTTCAACAAACATTAAATTAAGTATTTGATCTGTTTACATTATTGAAGCTGCGGTTTGGCTTCGTTAATAATTCATATACAATATACTACACATAGGGAAACATGCCTACGAATTGAAGGAAGGTAACGTTAGGAACATTTAATTATGAAATTCGTTTGTGAGAACATACAAAATAACATCAACCTCTAATACGAATCAAAAAAATAAAAATTGCACGACCAGAACACACTCACAAAAACACACGATCAACCTATGAAATTATTGTGTGTATATATAACAGATTTCATGAAAGATATACGAATACCTGATTCCATGGCGCTCAATGATAGTGATCATACATCGATTAACTGCAGCAAGTCGTAATATCGATGAAGAAGACAAGTGCAGAGATGAAATCCATGATCGATGGGAAAGATGGAATGAAAGAATAAAGGAAAAGAGGCAGTTATGAGAAAGGAAATTAACGAACCTGATTTCTATTCCATTATAAAAGTGGAGTAATTGACAAAAACGCCATCAATGTTAATTAGTTGGTTGTGAGCCATTAACATAGAAACGGACACTTATCTTGACTAAATGTATGGCTGAGATTAGTTTGTAGGTTAGTAAGTTAAGACTAGTTTGTATTTGATCTCTATTATATATATATATATATATATATATATATATATATATATATATATATAATAGATATATATATATATATCTATTATATATATATATATATATATATATATATATATATATATATATATATATATATATGATCACCCAAAACTTATCAAATAAATTTGAACTTACAAAGTTAATGTCCAAGATCCGCCACTCGACGCAATGTAACATTACGATGAATATGTATTGCGATGCATTTCTAATGGTTTGAGCTTTACCGATACCCTAGCATTACTGAATCAAAAATTTGGTAAAGTAACGATATATAAATTTTGTATACCGAAAATTTTGGTACGACAAAGATATAAGAGAAAATATTCAGTATATCGTACCAAACCACCCCTACTAGTGATCGGTCATGAAGGACTATTATCGAAAGATGACCCCTATAGTTGGGACCATCCAGTAATAATCAATAATCAAGATTCTTAACATCAGACAATTATTGGAATTATTATTTTCAATTTTTTCTTTATAAATTTGGTTATGAAATAGAGAGCCTGTTTGGTAGCCCTCACTAGTAAAAAACAGCCTTACAGTGACACTTTTCTGACAGAATACTACCAATGACATAAAAGTGTCACTAATTTCTAACAAAAATACATCACTATCAAATAGTGACACTTAATGGTCGGATGTGCTTTACATTTTTTTTAACTTAGCTAATACATGGGTTTTTTACATTACACTTAACTTTTTTCATATCCCACTAAATATTTTTCCATCGATCAATTCATTCTTCAATAGGTAGCCAGAGCCACACAGATGTAACCCTACCTTCAACCTTCAACACAGATCGATTTTCGTCTTTGGCTTACTCCGCCGCCGTACTCGTTACTACTATCCTTCTCAACTGGCCGATTCTTCGTCCAGAGCTAGAGAACGTACTTCGTCGCCTGAGTTCGATCGATTTAGTCCAAAGCACCCTTCGATAGTTTCATCGATTTAGCCTGTCGCTGTACTCCGTCTCCGTACTACATCCGGCCACCTTACTGCTCCTTACTGCATCTTCTCTCTAAGGTTCGTATATACCGATTTTATATTGCAAATAGGTAATGGATGTTGCAATTTCAGTATGTTTATTAGCACTTTGACTGTCCGATTCTTTGCTGGTTCATTTGTACCATTTATGTGTTTCATTTCTTCTCCGGTCTCTTTAGCGGTTTGGGAGAGTGTAAGTATTGGGATGGTTGGTATTTAGGGCATTTTTTGTTGGTTTGATTTTTGTTGTTGGGATGGGGGGTGGTCGTTGGAGTCTGAGTTGTGTATTGGGGGGATAGGTGGTTGATCTTCTAGGTGAGTCGTTTATGGTCCATCAATTGGTTTAGGGATTGGGTCGTTAGTGATATGGTTTTCTAATGCCTATCAAGTATTTGAAAAAATGCCTCAATAAAAAATGATGGTGAGAAGGCACTAATGTGGTTTAATGAAATACAATATGTTCATGTAAGCACATTTGATATGATATACTATAATATGTTTAAATCATTGATCTTGCAGTGAGCCACTTCTCAATTATAGCTCCCATAATTAGCAAGGAAAGAAAGTTCTGTATTGTATCCAATTTACTGGTTTATTTCGGTACTTTGTACATCTCACTGTGTTTCATTTTCATATTAAGTTCTTGGATTAATTCTTTCTCAAACACAAAAGATGACTCTTTGTTTCATTAAGATGAAACTTAAATAAAATGTTTTGTTGATCTTATGCTTTCTTCTTCTTTTGCAGCTGGACATGCCGTTCAAACTTTAGGACTTAATGTTATGTAAGTTTATTATGTATTGTTACATTTAAGCTATTAGTATCTACATTTTTAGTTTAATGTATGCTTTTAAAGTTTATGCTAATATATGAAATGTTTATAACATTTATACTAATAGTCTTTCAATTTATGTGGCCTCTTTGAGTTTTCAGGCTCTATCTACTAACCTCGGATATGTTGAAGACAAAGTAAGTTTCTTTATGAACTAAAAGTCTCTTTTAGTCTAGAGTTCAATGCTAATTCCTTTAGATATCATTAAAAGTTAGATTCTCTTCTCTGCTTTTTTCATCTTTCTGGAGGCATTCTCAAGGAAATGTTTTTTTGAATTCAATATAAGCATGAGATTTGAAAGTAGAATTATATTTTGCAGGTTTACATTGCTTTTTTCTGCATCATGTTGAGATGGTGTACTTACGGCGCAAGAACTCAGCTTCATTTTGGAGGTTTACCTCACTTTTGCATTTTTGCTAATTTACCTCACCTTTTCATTTCGGGAAGAATCAAGATAGAGTTGATTTAGTCTTGATATTGATTTTGACTAAAAGAAGTTCTTTAATTATGTGTTGTCATATTGCAGGGACATTCACCTGAATCACAATCATCTAAGCATTTTATTTAAATTGTTACTATAGGTAAGGAACTCCGTTTCATTATCAATTCCAGAGCAATATTCGAATTGTTGGCAGCAGCAAGTAGATTGTATGTGGGGGTCTCATTTCAATTCTGAATTTAATCTATGAGTATAAACCTTTAAAATCCTTTTAATTCTTTGCATCTTTCATTTAATAGTAAGTGATGAATATTTGAGATAATGCTCTTGCTTAAACTAGAAGATAAGGCATCTTTCATATGCCGTAAGATTTAAGCCTTTTCTATTTACTGTTGGTGACTTCCAAATTGCTTCTAGTGCTTCACCACATATGGTATAATAAATCTTTCATTTCATTACTCCATGGTTCATATTTTCAGAAGGTCCTTTCATTATATTATGGGCAGGTATTTCATTGCTCTTTGTATTTCATATTTCTAACCTCACTACCTGCATGTGCAGGCTTATAAAACAAAGAGGCTTCTTTATTTCACATTTCATTAAAGATCAGCAACAACAAATTAGTTGGCTGAAAAGAAGGTATATTACTTAAAATTATAAAGACTACTTCTGCAGACATAAAATAAAGTGGCTTGTTTTGAATACCAACTATCCTGGCCGGGCATGCTTACTATAATTCCTACATGAATTGCAACATTCTTATCCACCAGATTGTAAGTTTATTTCCTGAAAAGGTTCCCCTTTTACAATTTTTGTAGAGCAAGTTTATATAATTATATTCTATAGTGATTTCTATAGAACAATTTTTTATTACAATTTTTGTAGAACAATTTTTTATATATTCTAATTTATTTACAATATCTCTCATTCGTTTCATAACTTATTCTTGATTTATTCTTACTTTATCAATTCAATATCAACCACATAAATCACTTTTATTTGGTTTGCATGCCACTCTTTGTCCCATTGTTAGTGGGACGGAGGGAGTACTTATTATGAAAAGTAATGGGTAATAAGGGGGTGCAAATAATCACTCTAGTAGTTTAGTTCACTCTACGAAATCTGATGTGCATTTGCTCTGTAACCATTTTCAGGCAATGCTAGCCTAAAGGTTGCTGTGAATTGGGTTGTAGAACATGAAAGTGATGCAAATGTAGATGAAATGCCTCTGGTATTCTATATTCAACCTAAATAAATTATTAGTGATATGATTGTCTAATGCTTTGACATTGTAATAGGTGCCAAATGTCTCTCTGAATTTTCTAATTTCTATAGGTCCCTCTCAGTTCCAAGAATGTTGAACCTCCCAAGCCTTCCCTGGCTCCAGAGGAGATCAAAACGAAGCAACAAGAGTTAATGTAAGCTTTGGACGTTGAATTGTTGTTGGCGTTGTTTGAATTATTTTGCTATTTGTATTTAGGGCAGTGTAGGCGGCTTACTTTTCGTTCAACAGATGACTGATTCGGAATCTTGAGAGCGTCGTTTTAATGTCGTTTTAATGTTTTAAGCTTCTGTTGTGAATCTCATGATCCAGAAGATGGGGGAGAACTGGGGAACTGAAACTGAGAGGCATTGAAGGTGTGGAAAATCAGAGGCGTGCCAAGTAATAGCTTGGAAAAGTGAGAAGCAACCGTCAAATGAAGGAGGAAATGAAAATGGATATCATCACTCTATGGGAAGATATTAACCCGTTGAAGAATGTGACAAGTAATAGCTTGGAACACACACTAATTAGAGTGTGAGAAGAGAATCTTTTCACTACTAAAGATTGTGATGTATAAAGTGTAAATTTATAGCATCTTGTAATATACCTACTTAATTTGTAAAACTATTTGGGTATTAAATGAAAATATTGATCTTTTGTTTTGGTTATTTATCAATATTTGTGTAATAGAACTTGTAAGGAATAATGATAATATTATATGCTATAAATTTATATACATATGATACCAATGTATCATACGTCTTTATGATATAAATGTGTCAGTAAAATTTCATGATACCAAATGTATCATTGTTTTGTACGACATTTTTTTGTCATAATTTGCCGACACTAATATGTTTTACGATTAGTGACACTATATTTAGTGTCACTAGCCGCCACTTTCCCTGACGCTTTTTTAGTGTCACAGAAACTTTCAGTGACACTAATTTAGTGTCACTATAAGCCCTTTTTCTACTAGTGCCTGTTTTTTGACTTATCAAACTTATCAGACTTATCAGTCAACTTTTCACCAAACACGTAATTTTTTATTTATCGCGCTGAATTGCTTAATAATAAGAAAAAGTAATGTTGGAGTTTCTATTCTGGCTGTTTTGGTTTGAGTTACTTAAAGATGACCTTTTAGCTAGTTTTACACATAATTTTTTCTTTATTTTATTACTAAAATATGTTTTTAATATAAATTTTT